GCGCTCAAGGATGAGAGCGGCGGGATTTTCCAAGAGAACCTCCCACCCCTGAACTCCGGCGTCGAATCGCTCCTTCAGCTTGGAGAAGATGCCAATAGGGAAGGTGAAGATGTTGCGCTGCAAAGCTCGGGCTCGTTCAAGCTGCCTAGCTTGGGCGTTTGGTGTGAGAATGCATGTCTCACGCTAAACCAACAATCGTTCAATGTTTAAGCGCCAAAGCTAGCAACTAGCCATTGCCCAGGTTAGTGTTCCCTGCAGTGCAAGAGAACAGCTCGGCCATGGCCGTGCTGCCTCAATTTCTTCAAGTTTGTGGGCGGAAACTTGATTCTACATCAACCGTACTGGACTGGCTTACCCCTGACCCCAAGCAGTCCATGCTTAGCTGGCTCAGCTGGATAAGACTTCCAAGACCCTCGCCGGCAGGACAAGCTGAAGAAAGTCGATTCGCTTCAAGCCAAGGAGTCTTTGGCCTCAGGGAAGCGCGAGCATGAACCTACACACACACACACCTCATTTTTGTGTGGGATCTACAAGGCATGCCAACCAGATTTCGATCCAATTGAACACCATGAAGAAGCTCTACGACGGCCTTGAGACTCTTCAGAAAGAGCTGGCAGTCAACCGATCTACCACGCAACTTGCCTATGTTCTAAAAAAGTGGCATCAAGAAAGGACACTCCGTTGAACAGCTCATTAATTAGGCCTGAACAGCAGAAGGAAATGCTGAAGCTTTGCGCTTCTTGCACTCGGGTGGACGTGGCGCTCAACAACTTGGTCGTGCGTGCAAGGACCCCGGCCCAGCACCACTCCGCTGTTTCCATCCTTGACCTGCGCAGGACGATCAAGGCAGTGAAGGGCGTTTCTGGGGGGAAGGCAAAAGCCACTTCCTCTCGCTCGCCCAAAGGGCCAGGCGGCAACAATTCAGGGAAGACCAAACCTGCAAGAAAGGTGACAAAGCCCAAGAAGGCAGGGAAGGCCAAGCCTAAGGCTAAGGCTGCGGAGACCGAGAAATAGATTTGACCCAATATGGTGGTCAATGTTTTGAGTGTGGTCGATGACATCACACTTGGGGGCCATTGTGTTGCAACAGGCCATCAAGACATCCATCCATCAATCTCGATTTGCATTTTTCTGTGTGGGTTGAGGGCCTGTGCTTTGCAACATGGCAATATCGTTCCGATGTTGATCAACAATTTACCGTGAACAGGGGGTCAAAAAAGAAGGCGCCCATCCTCAAGAATCAAGGGGTTACGTATACCTTTGGTTCTATACAGTGCACATTGGCAATTTACAACTTTGTCGGGCCCTCGCAGGCCAATCCCGCGATGGCCTGTTTGCTTCACGTCTTGGAGACGGAGGCGAGCCGAAACGCTGCGCCCGCTCCAGAAATCCTCCCGGCTGCCTGTCAGGCTTCCTTGACAATGACGACGCAGACCTGGCTGATGAGCTGCTCTGTGGTTTCGAGGACGGAGCCGCGTGGCTTAAATTTAAACTTTGAGGGGGCATCATGCATGAGGTCACATTAGCTCGACGGGCATCTGCAATCATCTGTAGCTTAAAATGCACCGGAACCGCAGCTGAGGCAGAATCCGCTGCCAGAGTCGTCCGGCTGGCGACCGTGGCGAACAACCGGCTGAAGAAACATGGTGTCTGGTCCAAATGACGTTCAACAGAATCTGGTGTCAAAGAGAGGGGAATTGATGACTCAAGAAAAATACTAGACCAGCAAAAAATGCCCACACTGAATCCGTGTTGTGTCAGCATCTCTATAGGAACTTGCTGTGATGCATTTGCAAAGGTCATTTGCACATTTCTGTTTCAGGTCTCGCGGATCCACTGCTTTCGAGAATGGCCAAGTGTGGCAAGAACAAGCTGGACTCTCACGCGTGCAGGAACCTCCATAGAACAATCAAGGTCTTCAAGAAGGCCCTCCCGGTTGAGATTTCAAGAGTGCCTACGAAACTTCGGCTGTCGCGCAGGAGGCCACAGTTGGTCCACGTTATGCACCCAGTTCTACACCTATCTAGTTGGGCAGCAACCATTTTTGATCGTGGAGGTCATTTCTTCTTGCAGGGAAGAGATCTTAGCCAAGCTGAAGAGTTCTCGAGCGTCTTGAAAGACTTCTGGGGAAAGTTTATAGCTAGTCATCCGGAATTTGATCTACCTGAGTCCAAGTGGAACCATTCAATCCCCGTTTGCCTTCACGGGGATGAAGGCCGTGGAAAGGCAAAGCACCCAATTATGGTGATGAGCGTGCAACCCCTCCTTCCACTTCGCCCTGGCAAAACAAACATGGCAGGGACCTTCGATTGTTTGAAGTAGCTTTTGGTATTGGTTTGGTTGGGTCAGGTCAACTGCGAGAGATTCTGCCCCCGTCCCGTATGAGAGCCGAGGCCGACCATGTGCACGAGGCTCCTCTACACGGTCCTCCCAGCACCATACCCTCAAGCCTCTCTGTTTGATCTGCTTCGCGCTTGGGTTGTGGACCTGAACGAGATGAGTGAAAACGGCATCACTGCCACTTCACTCAACACAAACTTCAAACTTTATTTGTTCAAAATTAATGGCCGGCCAGACCACATGTCATGAATAGGGCTTGACCTGTTTAAGGGGCTGAGCGAGCTGCTCAGGTTTTGCATGGTGGCAAGGTGCTGAAGTACACGTTTACCGTGGTGAGCCTGAAGGGGGATTGGCCGTTTTTGCGATCCAGCATGGCATTGAACAACGGCTACAACTGTAAAGACAAGTGTCACAGGTGCAACTTAGGGCTGAAAGATTCTTTTCTAGATCAACAGGTTTTGAATTTCTCTTTGTTCTTTCGGAGGTGTTGGAGTTTAGGGTGGTGATGGTGGTGTAAGTGGTGGTGTATACATGTTTTGACACCTTCTTAAAAGCCTTCGAGGAATGGTGGGATCTAAAGGGAGCGGTGAAGCGCTTGCGGCCGTATGATGTCAATCCAAAGCCGTTCAAAGCCGAGCGCTCGCCACTTCGTGATCTAGCTATACTCGAGAACCCAAAATTCATCAGAATAGATCCTGCTCACACTTTCGCCATTGACGGAGTGGGAAAGAACTTTGCAGGCACCGCCATACTTCTCCTCATGCATATGGGATGGTTCGGGGGAGGCAATACAGACTATAAGTTTCAGTACGCCTATTCGCGCTTTATGGCATATTGCGACGCACGTCAAAAAAGCACAAGCATCTATGAATTCAGCTACAAAACCCTCAAGTTGCCCATTGGTTCGCTACTGGCTTGCACAGGTAAAGCTTTAAACAGGCAAATAGTTTTGTGCTATAGGACATGCAACTGTGAACCTAGAGCAACAAGACTTTCTCTGGACCCGGCCACAAGGCTACGCGGCACACCACGTGGCCTTGGAAAGGGACACGACTGCGCCATCGTCACGGCCTGGTTGGACGAGGAGCTCCAGCAAATGGACTTGGAGTCAGTGGTTCCGGGGTTGTTTTGGTAAGGTGTTGCATCTATTTGGTTTTAGTAGCTTTGAAAACCAGATTGCCATGAACACATTTTTGGATGAGCGACAGGCAACCTGAGGCAGTTGATTTTCGTGATATCATGGAGGTCTTGGTGTGGGGTTGCAGTTCAATCAACCGTTTCTGGAGATGTATGTATGCAAATGGGGTCTGGCTTAATCGACTGCAAGTTGAAAACATGGTTCAAGACGGATGGGCGTTTGTCGATGCTTGGGCTTAAGTCATGTTTGGAAGAGGGTGCCCTTATGTCAGCCACAGTAGAGCCCTGGAGAATTCTGGAGATAGCTTTTACCGGAGACCCGCACCTGCCTCAATGACCCCTTTGTAAGCAAGGACGGGTACGCCACTCTTGCACGACAAAGCTGCAAATTTGGTATGGTCGGATGCCAAATCCGGCCAAAAGCCCATATGTTCTGCCACCTTCTGCACCATGACTGCACGTCAATTTTGTGTCTGTAGTAATTTGGGATTGTTGAACACGGATTGGACCAACAACCACTCCAAAACTGGTGTGATCCTGCTTTTCCCAAGGCTTGATCTTGAAGAGATGCTGTCGCTGGAATGCGAATGGGTTCTGAATCCGGCTACACACTGCACTTGGAGCGACGAAGACTTCATTGGCAGGGTGAGCAGGGTAAGTCGGAGAAGCCATGTGCTAACGTGTGCTCTCCACACAATCCAACGCTGCCTTGGGTTGTACCGCCGGCAGTGGATCAAAGAATTCCACCCAGCAGTCAAGCAGTGACAAACCAGGGCCCCGGCGAGAGTGAAAACGAAGAGGTCGAGGGATGTCGAGGGCATCAGCCGCGCTGTGTGCGCGTATGTGGGCATAGGATATACCAACCCAGCAATCCCAACTCCACCACAAATCGACCAATTTTTTGTGATTCGAGTGTTTTTCTTGAAACGGACCAAACTTCTGTGTTTCGTACTACTTTATTTTCGTACTAGGATTTTATATGTCACTTGGTCCTTTAGGTATAGACAATTTGTTTTCATGAAAACTGCGCACTTCGGTTGTCTGGCAGCTCTCCTTCTATTGTTTGGGTTGGAGGATCGGATGAACCGAACCAACATCAGAAGTGTCTGGTCGGTCCCAAGGCTCCGAGCCTCGGCCGTGCCGGGGCGCTCGGTGCGGTGCGGTGGAAAAGAGGCCGTTCCGTTCCGTAAGAACTGATGTTCAGTGATGAGTTAAGGTTAAGGTATGAGTCATGAGTTATGAGTTTGGAAGGTTAAGGTATGTGGTGAAGAGGAGAATTTGAAGCCCAAGTAAAAGGCCTCGGGTCCTTCAACTCTTTCGATCACGCACTGTTCAGACACCAGTCTCCACTTTGAGACAAGTTGGTGCCAATCATGTGAACGACTGATTTATTGAAGACATGAATTCTCGATGTGTCGCCTGAAAAGCGGCATGTGTCGGCTAAACCCCTATGAGGCCCCAACTTACGACTTCTTTTCCGCCGAGTCCAGCGCCGCCCCTGCGGCCACCTGGGCCCCACCGAGGCACGAAGGCGCCGTCGGCGAAGGCCAAGGCCAAGGCGGTGCCCATCGGCTTGGCCACGGCGCCGGCGGCCTTGGTGAAGCCCGGGAACTGGGCACAGGCCGACATCGACGGGTGTGGAGGGCAGTGCGGTGAGGGCTACAGAGATCTACGGTAGATGATGAGCGCGAAACTTGGAGGATTCGCGATTTATGCATGAAGATTGGGTGTTTGACATTGATTGACACGTCCAGGAGACGTTACCATTGTGGCTTCCGGGATGGATAGAGGATAAAGATGGATAAAGGCAAGTTGCAATAAGAAGACGAGTAATAGTAAGATTCCTTTAAAATCCCTTAAAGCTACGGTAAACATAAGTTAGGAGTGGAAGATGGAACCATATGTTTTATACACACATTGATAGAACCTTAATGTGGTCTACTTGGAGCATTTGGTGTACCGAAGCGACATGCAAAGCACATTTAGACAACCACGCTGTGTCCCAATCGATGCACATTGCATAAGGAAGCGCGTGCGATAGTCCAAAGCCTATTTGGTTCAGATTAGTGCCCAATTTTGCAATTGCTGTATGAAGGTTTTCCACTGGATCACGTCCCTCCGCTTCAGAGGGCCTTTCACCCTCCTTTCCAGCAACACACATGGATGTTTATTTTGTGTTGTTGTTTTTTCCCGGGCCTGGAAAAAACAACATGTGCCTGCTTTCCAAAAAGGCAACCACATACCACAAGACGACATGTGCCCAGTTCAGCTCAAGTTCAGTCCATCCGAATCCGGATCCATCCGACTGGGATGGACCGCCCAGTTCCACCCATCCGGCTGAACGGTGAGCGCTGTTTCACCCGGCCGGAGCCAGGCCTTCGATCCGGTACCACAAGGTGAGGAGTCGGAGTGCGGTCGAGATGAGGTATGGGCGAACGACAAACTCGCATCCTTCCTTCAACCCTTGTTAAACTTACATCAAACTCAAGGCAGGGTTGCATGTTCTTTCCCATCTCTAAATTCTGCCGCTTTTCTTGCATTGAACGTTTTGTTTGGTGCTCATTCCGGTTCAGCATGTGCGTCCCTTTGGTTTGGCCCTTTGGAATTTTGCCAGCCCAGGGCACAGAATGGACCTAGGTGAACGGCATTCCGTCCACCCCAATGGCATGCAAAGGTCCTAGCTAGAAAAGCGCCCCACTCATTGTTCATAGTAAATATATGCAAATATGGGATGGCAGTTTGCTGTACAGCTGTACAACTACTGAATACTGATGAGCAGTGTTTTGTTATGTTTCTCGTGTTGTTTCTGTGAGTGTTTCGGTTGTAATTATGTGGATGAAACATGCAGCTGGCAGAAAATGCCACTCAGCTTTCGCCTGAGAAGATCATGTACATAGTGGGTCTATGAGCGACACAGTACCCGGTACCCTTTCAGCATCCTTGCCCTTCATAAGGGAACACCCAACCCCCTCCCACATGAATATATCTCACAAATAGCGGTCACATATACAGTAATGGTGTGTACCGTTCAATGCAACACACAAACGTTCGACATTGAAGGATTGCACTGCAATGACACCTTATTTTGTTTGGGTGTCTTGCTCATTTATGGATATGGGCCAAACCACCCAGTCCCCCTTGTTGACATTTTGACTGACCGGATGTGCAGACATGGGGTTCGAGGGCGCGGCCCCGAAGTTGGGTTCCAACCCCCTCCCAGACTTCCGCACAAAACACTCACCAAACATCCTCACTTGAGAACAGACAAATCCAAATCATCCAACAACCAGAACATATTTAGAGGCCATTCCTATTAGGGTGGAGGCCTTCCTTTTCGGCCATCGCTACTAGGGTGGATGCCATCGCTATTAGCATCGTTAGCTACTCCGCCAGGCCCCCCCCGCTGCCGTCACGCCTCCAGTGCCCATGGTGCAGCACCCAGAGCCATCCGCGAAGTGAAACCGTTGGTCTGACTGAGAGGTCCATTTGCAACAGTTGTGTCCAGAAGATTTGTGAATTATACATATATCACTTGAACTTGCTGATCGGGGCAAGAGCTTGACATATTTGAAGGTCGGCTAGGTGATACGGCTTGAACGTGTTCAGTTTCCTCGCCCATGTCTGATGCATCCTGATGCAATGCTCAAGCATTGCTTAGGGGGCTTAGGGTGGCAGCGCATTGTAATATGTGTACATCAACATCTAAATTCCAAGCGCCCTCCACGTCCTAGGCACGGTCGACGCTGTTACACCATGTCAAGTCACATGAACTAGTAGTTTGATGTATGTTGCATCAACGTCTCTGACACACCTTGGCAATTGTCCATGTCCTGTTGATGATGGATGAATTCTCCTGTGTATACTGTATGTACATATCCAACTATAGTTAAAAGTATAAAGTCTCTCTAAAAGAAATTACGCAATGTTTGGCACTGTAAACAGCAAACAGATCAACAAGAACTTGTTCATTTGGCCATTGGGCCTCGAAGAACCCGCCTCGTTACTCCAGTGCCGAGGCAGTTGGGCATCGCATGCCAGGCTGTTCGGGACGCGACCAGTTTGGGAGGACACCGCGTTCACCACCGAAGCAGTTCTAGGGCGAAAGCATGCCTCAACAAAACCTACTGCAGACTGTTGTAGGTCCATAGCACCCCCCTGCATGGAGATGTGAAAACCATATTCTGCTAGCGGGGACTTTAGGGATCACGAGTCTACATTGTAATCGATGACACAGATGTTTAGATACTGAAACTAATTTTCTCGATGGGGCGCGGGATGGTTTCTTTGGCCTAAAGATCCTAAGTACTAAGGCCCTCACTTCTTCCTTGTATCACCCTTGGGGTGCAGCCTGTATCCCTCAGTTCCGAGTCAGTTCGAGCGCACGCCAGGTGCCGGCTCTCCAATGCTACCTTATCGTCCGGTCAGCCCACAGGTAAGGGTCAACTGGGGCGGATGACGGATGGGACTGGAGCGGGTCGGGCAGGAAGTTGAAGTGGAGAATGGGCAGCTACAGATGAAACTATAGGTACCATTAGGTACCTAGAGGCTTCTAGGCATGTGGATTTGCTGAATCAAACTTCATGTATATACAATATGTTGTGTTTCAATCTGTGGTGCAAAGGCCTTTTGGAGTGCAGGGTTCACACTTGTTTTTTACTGCGGCAGTTTGTCTGTGGTGATATAAAGCTTTTCTTCCATGCTGGTTCCTCGACGTCCACACAAGGAGGTACCATTCCATACCCGGTACTGGCCAGTTCCTTTGAGCACGAAGTGGCTCTAAGCTCTAAGGATGATCCTGATGAAAGACTTCCCAAGGAGATGAGTTGCATGGTAGATGACTGCTCCCGCTGCTCCAGAATGCTCGGCTTAGAACTTGTTCTGAAAACTTGTTTGTTGGTCCCCGATTTACCATCACGCGAGATTTGCGCTACCACGAGTTTTGAGGGGATATAGAACCCTCAACACCTGTGAGGCCTTGTATCATGATCAGAGTGAGTTCTTTGTATTTGGCTGGTCCTTCTGGTGAGAACTGGATGACTGGTTTGAAGTCCACAGGGCGCGCCGTTGGTTCCATGGGGTTGCCAAGAAATACACATGAATGAGTCTCAGAATAGAGGGAACACTCGAGCCGACCATAATTAGGAGGCCGAAAGAGAACATATCAGATAGAGACAACATCATGTTGCACATGGGAGAGCTTGCCATAATTATGATTCTTGCATCAGTATATATACATAAGACCCTTATACCGGATCATGGTTGGACCGTCAGTTTAGCGAAACATGTTGGCTACAACCATATCATGTTGCAACATCAGCCTAAATATCCAAAGTACTGTATGGACTGCATGTGGCATATGGTATGCCCCGTCCAAATGCTGAACTCGCAGCTGCTGTCGGCTCGATCAGATCGGCTGTATTCCAGTGCGTCGAGCGTCCAAAGCACCTCAGCGGGGCCCAAAAGTTGGAAACAAAGGTTCACCTGGGGTGAACAAGCCTCAGTAGTGGGGTTTGCAGAATAGGCTATAGCTATAGCACTGTAGCAAGGAAGACAGAGACTACTGTTCGGAAATCTTGGACGTCCATCTGGGTCGTGGAAAACCAGGAGTGGGAGCCCTGCAGTTGCAGTACATGCCATGAGCAAACCATTTTCATATGAGGGAACTCTATACCTACATCTTCGAAAAGGCTGAAATTACGGCCTGAGCTCTAAAATCAGCCTTTTAGCTCTTCGGGCTGAAAATCAGCCTGCGGGCTGAAATTGTGTTTCAGGAGAGAGTTTTTTGGCGCAGGATTTTTGTGATTTATATAGGATTTTTGTGATTT